CGGTCGTCGCGATTTCAAGCTATTCTTGAGATCCTTTTGAACGTTTGGATCTTCCCATTCCAAGTAGGTGGCTTTGCGTATATCCGAAGGAAGATGTATCAAACGAACATTTGAACCCTTCAAAAGAACACGACATTCTATTGAGAGAGAAGAGTCGCGTCTTTGACAGCGCACATCAATCATCTCAACATCGCCGTGAAGCATGTCCAGGCGAGAAAGCTTTCCTGTATAAACGGCCCCATCCACCGCCTCCACCTTTACGAAGAAACCCGTCGCATCCATCACTGCGCGCAGCGGCGTTTCCAGCACCTCCGTCATCCTTCGCTTGTAACTTACCGCTTCAGCACGAAAGCAAAGAAGTAACAAAAAAGAGCAGTAAAATTAAGGATGGCCTTGTCGGCCGCAGCGGCGATGGTAAAAACGCGCGATAAAGAAAGAAAATAAAAAAAAAACGTACCGCAGATGACGCCGCGCAAGCAGCGCGAATACTGCCCCGCCGCCCCGCCGCCGCCTCCCGTGCGGAAGAACACCGGCGCTGCCGGGGGTGCTTCTGTCGCGGTGGCTGTCGCTGTTTTTTCCCCGCTTTTTTTTTTCTTCGCTGGTGGTTGTTGCGGCCGCGCCCACCTGGCGTTCCTAATTTATGTGAGTGTGTGGCGTGCATTTTCATTTTGCGCCATTCTCTGTGTTTGCTTATCCATTATTGTTACTGTTACCATTATTATCATTATTATTATTTTTTTTGGCTTCAGCGTCTTCTTAGGAACTCACGGCGGGTGGGCTTTGTTTTTCTGCGTCTCCCATCCCTCCTCTCTAGCGTTTTAGGATTAGCAATGGCTTCCCCGGGTCCGCAAGTAAAACAGCAGATTTCACAGCTTGTTTATGCGGAAGTCGTAGTTTCTTTTGCGACAGCCATTGGGCTTCTTGTTTTGACGGTAGTGCAGCTTCTCTACCGTACGACACGCCGCGCCCGACGGCTTTGGAGGACTGAGAACCAAGTTAGGTTTGACGGGGCGCATTTTTTGAGCAAACCGATAGGAAATGCTGGACGAAAAATAATAGAATTTGGCCTAAAAGAGCACGGAAACAAAGAGGTCAAACCGCCCTCTTTTGTTCTAACTGCAGTCGTTGCTAACGATCGAGATGTACGGGCAGATTGCCTCTCTATGCTTGCAGAAACGCGGCAAATTTTTCACAAGCAATATGGTGACTCAGCATGCTTAATGTCTATGCGATGTTGTTTGTCTTGCTTTGAAAATGCGTTACCACCTAGTCAAACGGAGGATTTTCTGCGCCTTTATGAAAATGTTTTATTTGGTCAACATAGAGTTGATGGAATTTCTGATACTCTTACCAATGATGATATCAAGTTTTTGTATGCTTTTTTTCATAATACAATACTGAAGGAGA